CATACTATAAAAATACATGCAGCACAACAAAAAAAGAGTGAATAGCAAGCTATTATAACAGTGCTGGGCACCTTTTGATCTTTAGATGAGAATAAATGAAGATATGCTAGATCTTTCATTTAAACCCGATAAGATCAGACGTTCCTTTCGATTTTACAAAGGGTGCTAAACACAAGCAATGTCAGAGTTATATAAAAACAAAACAAAAGGGGCCTATTTTTCTCCATTGTATTAGCCGACACTATTAGCTTTCCCATTTCCCAGCATTACATCATAACGAAAGAAAAATTTAAGTATCTCCATTGAGATTTACTACATAACCCCATTACTGAAACAGCTGCCTTAATACAATGCGTTCCTGGACTTAGTTGAATAAAGACTGATTATACTTTTGCAAGGTTAATGTTATAAAGAAGCACTTAACAGAGGCAAGGCAAGTTGGCTTGCATGGAAAGGGAACTTCATATCATATTTCTTCCTGTTATTAGATTTCTTACAGGTTTAGTATCCTATACTTTTGTGTTCTTTTGTGATACAGTATGTTGTGCTAGAACTCTGTTTTTTTTATATTTGCCTGTTTGTTCCAGTAAAGCCCTCTATAAAGATTCCTCAAGGCTTACAGAGGAAATGAACCAGGGAAATTTAAGCTGTACTGCCCACTCTTCACCAACAGTCTTGTCACTGCTTCATCACACTCAGTTTGGACTAACAGAACCTGTTGTGCTTGGACAGTTGAATATCGTGGCAATCAACAAAGCAAGCATTCATGTAATGGAGATGTGCAAAATGTCCAGATAAGATTGAGCCAAAATTTATCAGATACTATTTACAAGCAACTGTACAGTGGTGCAGTGGATAGCATTTCTGCCTTGGTGTTCTGGGGCCAATTCCTGACCTAGGGTCCTATCTGCACGGAGTTTGTATGTTCTCCCTGTGTTCGCCTGGGTTTCCTCCCACAGACCAAAGATGTATTGATAGGTTAACTGGCTTCAGAGGAAACTGACACTGTCGTGAGTGTGTGTATGTCTGTCTCTGCTCTGAGATGGACAAGCGTCCTGTCCAGGGTGTATCCTGTCATGTGCTCCTTACTTGTCAGGATAGGGTCCAGCTCCCCCATGACCCTGAACTGGTCATTTTCATTCCAAAGACTCAACAGGTCAGATCTGCTCCCGAGGACTAGAGTATATGTGACTTCAGTCCTGTCCAGTGAGGCGATTTTATCTGGGCGACTACTCCCCAGAAATGCTGATCCTCACTAATACAGCTGGATGACAGAGCAACTGGGGTACAGTACCACCATCATTTCACAACAGCAGGTCCACAGATGACACTGGAACCCACAACCCACCAGACATGAGACTCTTAATCACTAGGCACCTCTGAAGTGTCCACAAAGGCATACAAATGATATCCACCTTAATTTTAAAATGTGGCGCAAAAACTGGAGAAGAAAAACAGAGGGTTTTCTTGGAATGCAGGTGGAGAAAGTCGGGAACAAAACCTCTCCAGTGCCTAAAGCGACTGAACCCTTAAGGGTCCACCAGAGCATCGGCTAGTTTTCTAACACTCTTCTGTTTTGGGGGTTGCTTAAGGGGGAAGCTTTAAAAGAGCTTCAGCTGAACACTTCAGACCAGTCTGGTTCCTGCCATGTTCTGTAAATAAAAGGGCTCTGAAAGCCGGCTCTGTACAGTGGCTCACAAGAATGCTCCCTCAGCATGAATATTCATGGCTCCTGGCCCTCCTGCAGCTGGGCCTCTACTGCCTTGTTAACAGAGGGGCGGGTGTTCTCCTGCCCAGCGAGTCTCTGGGCCTCCAATGCCACTCTCTGAGCGCCCCACTTCACACATCCTCCCCTCGCCCCTGGTGTCCGTGCACAGCATTGCAGTCCGCGCTGTTGGATGCTACCCAGGTCGTGGAGGTGGTTCCCCGTTCAAAGCCAGTTTCTGTGCATTACCCTAACCCTCTGCCCCGTGTAACCTTGTAAAGCGCTTTAGGTAAACAGAGCTGCTAAATGGCAAATATTTAGAATGGGTACAGTTGCACAGTGCAATACCCATGTACGTTTGATTTGTTACCCTTCAATGGAAAGCTCTTTGAGATATCTTGCCACGAAAGGCGCTGTATAAATAGTTTTGTTTTTTTAAATAATATCGCATTAATTTGCAATGTTACTGCAGCCCTTGAGTACTGACTAGCAGTGGGGTAGAGGTACATGAAATACTGGGTAAAGGCCCCTGTTCTGTGCTGTGTATTCTTCTGGCAGCGAAACTCAGCTATTATTAGCTGTTACTGTTGCCAGCAGCAACATAGATGTGTTAGACCTGCTGCATGACCAGTCAATAAATGAACTGACCAAACACTGGTTACCTGCATATACCAAGAGCTACACTGCACTTATTACTCCACTTATTATTGTCACTGGGGAACAGAAAGATTCCAAACATCCTTGCTTATTGGCAGACTACACAACTGAGGCCAAATATGAATTTGACTTTCCGAGCTGAGTTGATCAATCTATTAATGAATGAAAAACAAGACCATGAAGGCGAAGAGGCAGAGAAGGCATCCACAAATTTCCTTTCAGTAACTAACATTTGCACTGGGAGATGTCCAAAAAAGCTGTTACACAGGTTGTTTTGTGCAACACCAGCTCCAGGAGCCTGGTGCTCAGAATTGTGGCAAAGGGAATGACTCTACCTGTCCGGCGCTCAGCGTGGTTTTGCCCTGCGGAGATGTTTGTCCTACCGATCAAACACAGGCAAACTGTTCACTTATTGATTTAACCAGGATGGCAGCCACAATTTCGACAAGAAATCTATTTCACATCTGTCCCCACGGGACAACTCCTAGTTCCAAAATAAGGCTCCAAGAGGCACTTGAGCAAATAATCAAGCTAGTTATTGGGAGGATTTACAGCCTTGACCTTTTCATTTAGACGTGATTGATCCTTTGAACGTTTAATCCTTTGTTGCTGTGTAACAAATAGGTCAGTAATTCCAATCAATACAAATTTTCCACAAGATTAGCCTGTGGTCTCTTGACTGTGCTTTCAAGAGCCCATAGTTGTACAGTAAATAATGTGGCTGTTAAAATGAACAGAAATTCATGCAGTAAATCAGATGCATAGAACTGATCGGACACATTTAATTGATCACACCTGAAGAAGGCTCCACGGCCGAAACGTATTTTCTTTCTTCTTTTTTTCAGCATGGAATAAACCTTTACTTGTTCCTTTGCAGCCTACGCATGCTGACGCAGCTCCCTACTTGAACCACTACATTTAATTTAAGACCGTTCTCAAACAGGACTCCATTACCTTCTGTACTCATGAGCGCTAAGCAATGCATTGAGTTTTAATAAACAGAAACTGCCATTTCAGGACAGGTGCTATACCACTGCAAGCAACTTTATATTGTCTGAAACTGAGATTTTTCAGTCTGATTGAAAGATTATGTCTGCTTGAAACACAGGGGTTGGTTTGACATCTAGACAGGAAACTGGCACAGTTAAGTTCAAGTTCCCCAAAATCCAGTCCTGAAACATATACCAATACCTACAAATGTCCAGGACCAAGGTTATGACCAATACTTTCATTAATTCAAATTAGCAGGGAGCAGCTAAAGGTGAAATGCAAACAAAAACCACTGATGTCTTTCAGGATCAGATTTTCAGCACACCAAAAAGTATGTCTGATAAATAGTGGTAGTGAGACCTCCTTTAATCAGCAAAAACAAACTCATTTGACTCCAATTTGATCTTGTCTAACTTCACCCTCACTGCAGTTCCCCATTATCCAGTACTTTGTAAATTTGTGTTTCTTTTTAGGATACACAAGTATTGAACTGTTGTGTTCTAAATTCACTACGTATTGTCACCACCTTATACTAATCTGTAAGGAAGCTTAAAACAATTGAGAGGTGTCATTGACAGATAAGTACAGTTTAACAAAATCATATTAACGCCTCTTAAATTAGCGAACACCCTGAAATATTTAATGTTGCAGCTCTTTTGCAAACTAGCTCATTATCATACCAGTAACAAGTTTAGAAGAGACTCCTCTGAGCTGAAAGTGTCTGTTGAAATGCTTCTGCGCTGCAGGGAGTGTAGTTTATTACACCTGGGTCGGCTCTTCTCACTATTAATCCCCTGAACAGCCCCATGAGGCGGTCTCTAATATTCCCTTAAAGGCTTCAATGTACTTTAAAGAAAAAACATACATAATAGAAAAAATCAAATTTCTATTTCTCTGGAAGACAATATCTCAGAGCCAGAGGCACCCCATGATCAATGAGGAAGGTGACTGTCCTCTCGCTAGAATGATGATGCACAGGCTCTCAAAGGAAAGAGCAACAGTTCCACTCCATGACTGGACCCCACTGCCCACTGTCACTCCCTGCTCACATTCTTCAAGCAGGAAAGAACATAGGAAAGACCCCAGGCCAGGGAAGGCCAAGACAACAGTCTGTCTCATTTAAATGTCACAGCTCACTGACGCTGACGCAAGGATCTCATTCAGCTGTTTTGATGAGTCCCAGGAGAGCTCTTTTTTAATGGCATGGCTGGATAGGTTATTCCAGACATCCACAACAGACCCTTTTCAAAGAAGAGTTCCCTGTTTTTGACCTTGAAGGGGGGTAAATCAAGAAACGTAGCCGATGCTTTGCCTGCAGGTCCCAAACCAAGACAGGAGGCTACATGCTTCCTTCTGGTCAAGCTTCAAAAGCCCTTTGAACACTTACTTTTACAGGAAAATTAGTTTCCTGGCACACCTTTTAAAAAAAGCATGAATGGTGAAAATGTGCTCTCATGTGCATCCCATGATGTGTTCAAGCAGAAGATGGGGTGCACAGCTGATAATGATACAGGCCTAACAGTTAAGTGCAAATAATATATTGAACATTTTTTTTTGAGGACCGGCGGTTCATGATTCTGTGCAATTCAACCTCTCGGCAGTAAATTCAATCCGTGCAAAGGCAAAAACAAATAAATCTCTTACACACCGCTTTGCTTCTGACTTCGGCACTGTGTTTTTCCACGTTTCAAAGAGTCCTCATCTGCCTCTGTGTGGACCGGGCCATTAAGGGGCGTTATCTTCCTCCTATCAAAGCCTAATCTGTGTGGCTATTATCCCCTCCTGTGCCGTACTAATGTGCGAGACAGGCTGTTTAATGTGCTAATGTGTTTAACGTGCCCAAAAAAAAAAAACACCGGAGTGAGAGCTTTCAAACGCTTTCATCTCCCTTTTTCTCCCCCCGATGGCCGTTTTTATTAAATATTTGCGCTCGGCCCAGACCCCATTTATTTTCCACAGTGTTTAGCGGCCGTTTGCCGGCGACCCGCTCAACAGTGGCGTCTCAGACGGGGGTTTGTTTGGTTTAGAAGCGAACGAGCGCAGCTGGCCAGGGCGCTACCGGACAGCGCGGGGCGGCGGGCCCTCCCCCCGCGCTGGGTAAACTCCAGCGGGGAGAGACGAGACACAGCGCCCATTGAGGGCCCGACGTGGATGGGATAAAGTTGGGATTGTTTGTCAGAGGGCTGCAATGCCAGGAATGCAGAGCTCCAGTTCCTCTCTGGGAAAGAGGCGAGGGGGACATTCCTTTTCCAAAAGACGGATCCCTGCCAAGACACATTTCATCCAGCAAACTGCCTAAGCAGCAGAGGTTCGCCCCTTAAAAAAAAAAAACCCTCTGGTTCACTCTCCCGGGATTCCAGTCAAAGGCCCCACTCTCACTCTGCCGCAGGAGGGATCTGCATCGAGACCGCACTGTATGCTGTGCTGGCACTCAGCACATACGATGTATATATGACCCTGTCTTCTATAACTAGGCTCCCTGCTACTAATGTTACTTGATATTACATTAGCAATCTTACTGACAACTGCACTAAAAAAAGAAATGTAAAAAAAACGTCCACAGTCAACAATTCCTTTTTTGTATTACTTTTGCAGATATGACCCCCCAAAAAAAGATACAAATATTTATACGAACTCTTCCGCCAGATCCAGATTTTAAAACAGCTGATCACAGACTTCAACGGGAGATAATTACTAGGTCCACTACTTCTTACTACTGTGCGTCAGCTGTGTTACGGTGGAATTTCCTTCTGAAATTCTTCAGGTCACATGGAATTAAACATTACCGTGACAGAAACCCTCCGAAAATCCCACTGACGTTTCTCTCTCACTTTTCCACCTAGTAAAGACTATTTTCATACATCCGTTTTCGACATCAGTCACATTTCTTATCACTGGATAATTTCTGGCCCTCAGGTCTGGGGCCCAGCTTTTACACCCTATTCAACCGCATTTCTTAATATGCAGGGCTTTGAGGAGTCGTCCAATTTTCAGTGCCATTTCGTATAGTGTTCAATCACACACACAAAGCAGGATTGGCCGATATACTGCACATTAAATCAGATTGGCTATAGATGATACTCTAAACAGGAAAACAAGATAGTCAGTATGAGTGATGCTACTACCACTACTAATACTACTAATATTATTTAACATATATTTTTATATATGTTAAATATATAAAATAAGAATTTTTCTCCGAATTCTGTTTCCCAAATTTCCACATTCACTTTTTACTTCTAATTATTGTAGTCAGATGTCTGTTGAAAATAGATGTACCGAAAGATCCTTTGCCAGTTATCATCAGCACGATAACACAAGTTTCAGTGCACATACATTGAAGTCAGTCAGTTCATATACTCACACAATCCCTCTTGAATAACACAAAATTGAAGATGTATGCTTTGAAATATTTGCAGTCCAGGTTTATTCTATTTGTCCAGTATGTTTTCCATCAGCTGAGGAGGTGATGAGGGTTAATACCCATTAGTGACTTGAGGTATAAAAAGAGAAGTTAACATTCTGTTTTAAGAGATTCAATATCAGAAAAGCCTTAAGAATCTTGCAATAATCTATCATCTTTTTTCCTTTATTTCTTTTCCTGACCTCTCCTTATCTTAAAGACCAAGAGCTAACACATCTTAAGTAAATCTGTACTTTACCAATAGATCAGTACTGAAGAGGTTAATTACAAACTTTCAGACTTGCTGAATGGTCATTGAATAGTTCACTAGGAACATGGCTAGAATACTGCAAAGCATTTCCAATAGGGCTAGCTAACTTAATTTCAAAATTCAAGTATAGTACATCTTTTAAAACAGAATATGTCCAACAGTATTACCCCCAGAAAAATCTAGTTTCCAACAAAACATATTTACTGAGCCCAGAAGTAATATTTTGAAACTAATGCTCTTGACAGTATAATTATATTGATCTTATTATCTGGAAATAGTTTAACCTGTAGTGGCCAAATATTCAGGAAATAATGTCAGTGTTTGGAATAACAATAGACTATAATGTAAAAGACTGGGACTGAAAGTGTGTTAACCAATGTTGACCCTACAGTGAAAGTAAGGAATAACATATGAACAAACAGACCAGTCTTAAAGAGAAGCCCTTTTCCTAAGTTCCATTTAGACACTATAGCAAATAAGAGCATCGATACTTTTGACAATGTGGTAGAGTGCCACTTTCACAAAACACCTTGTTTTGTGAAAACCAAGCAAGGGTGAAATAGATGCCCATAAAATGTTGTTTTGAGTTTCATGATTGAATACAGTGACAACAGTAATGGACTTTCTACTGCTCAACAGTGTTAGAATTCCAGAAGAGTCCCTTTTGTTAAAAAAGAGTGCCTTATTTCCAGGCATTTAATGAGGAAACCACAGAAGTCTTGGTGCCTGTTTTCTTCAATTAATTCAATGTTTAAAAGTTTGGGTGACTCCCCCCATATGGAGAAGGACATGTGTTTTCTCTTAACTCCTGGAGGATGAGGTCACCTTTTAAATCAAGCTTTTGAACAATGTGATCACCAAAACAATGCTAAATTAAAAACACCCTCCCTCCTTTTTTTCAGATTTCTCTGTGTCTGGCAATGGTGTTTGGTTGAAACTAAGCATTCACACTGAAAAGTCCATATGGAGTGATTTCCTCAGAACAACAGGATTGCGCTAATGGTCAGAGAGTTAGCTTTTGAAAGTGGCTTTCATTAAGGTTCACCCTGTACAAGAAAGGGTATGCCTTACTTAATCGTTGAGTGTGAATAGTCATGTTCAACAGATTGCCATCTTTAAATCTGGCTAGAATGTTCCATTGGTTTAATTTGGGAGAAGAAGGTGGAACTTTCTTTAGGCATGTGGCTCCACATCTGAAATGTTGTTGTTCTTTTCTTTTTTTTCATCTTGGAATAAACCTTTACCAGTTCCTTTACAGCCTACGCATGCTGACACGGCTACCTTATGTGGTAGCCCAAATAAATTGTTTAATTAAAACACTGCTGTGGGAGCACAGCACAAAAGGACAAGATGAAGAAAAAATAAATCTAGTCTAGATAATCCAGATTAATAATCTAATCCTGCAGTGATTCTCTGTCAAACACCCTGTCCCTATTTCAACAAGCAGTAAAACTGTAGAACAGCTGCAGGTATCGAAACACAGGAACTGAAACGTGCAGTCTAATCTTTAAACTGGAAGAGAGAGGACCTTGGGCAAAATACTTAGAAACAGAAGAGTTCAGTCGCCAGTATTTCAAAAGGAAAAAAAAACATGTATATGAAGCTGGATATTACTTATAGGAAGTGTGTAATAGAGAATAAAGAGGAAACATTGAACCTGAAGAAGTTATCCATAACACAGACTTGACTTTTTGTGTTGATACTGTATCACTTTCCTCTTCTAGATAGTGTGTCTGTTGGGAAGTAGTACAAAAGTCTAGTAGAAAAGGTGAGGACGTGTAGTCAAGAGAAGAGCTTAAAGGAGTGTCCCCTTGGAGGGGAATACTGAGTCTTTTCAGTCTCAAACACAGGAGACTACAAGGGGAGGAGCTTGATGCTTTGATTCAGTCAAACCAGCTTCATCAGAATCAACTGTGAAACCCAAACCGCAGAACACAGGTGGACACTCAGGGGAATGCGTGATTTAAACTGAGGATGTCGTTTTTCCACACAAACAGTGGAAAAAGTGGGAGAAATCCACGGATCAATCACCAAATAGAAACTAAACAATAAAGGTGGACTGGTGTCTGCGTTTGCAACCTGATTTAGGACTCCTGGTAATGGAGCTCATATGGCTGCAGCATGAGCTCTATGATCACGGGTTCGAGCCTGGCTCGAGGCACTAAGCAACAGTGATTACCCAACAGGCCTGCCTGCATTTGCAGGGTCCGTACATGGAAGCACAGGTGTGAGAAATGAGAAAATGTCTATTCAAAATGTGGCAGAAAAAGGTCGCAATTAAAAATAATTGGCTGGTTCTACATGTAAAAAAAAGACAGCCCTCACAAGATAATGTGCCATCGATGTAAGTGTAGAAAATATAGGAGGATGTGGGATATTACATTTCTATAGGGATGCTCTGAAGTCTACTGGGTTATCATTCCAGTGTCAATTTATTAACATAATGCTTGAGGTAACCCACTGTGGAATCACCTTTTCCTGTACAAAGTAATGAAAAGCCATTAGAAATAGAAACGCTGTACTGTCAGGAAAAAAGAAACATCTTTAAAGATATCAGTGTTTTTCTTGGGAAGGCAGCAGAAAACTAACAGGATGGTGTTATGCAACATCTGCTGAAGCATTCTTTGATGAAAAGCAGCAGCTAGGAGCTGCTGTTATAAACGTGGCATGTTGAAGAAACAGCGACATGTAATATTTCATGCATCCCATCACTTTATACAGTGCGTCTTCTTAAACAGAAAAGGAAAAAACGGCAGACTTTGATAGACTTTGATTATTGAGCTGATTTACAGCTCAATAATATAAATGTTAATTGCAAGAACAGAATAGCCACCACAAAAAAAAAATAACAGGCTTGAGAACTGATCTGGAAAGTGTCTGCGTTTGTGAGAGCAGAGCAGGTCACATGCAATGCTACAGCTTCCTGGTAAACTTCTAGGCCACCATGTTAAAAAACAGGCTTTCCAGGAAAGGGCATTGTTTAATGACCAGGAAACCAAACACCCTCACAGTGTCATCTGAATAAAAACAAACCACTGTAACCTTTAGGGAACCAGTTTCTGCAATTTGAATTTTCCTGTTATTTGGTCAGTTACTTGAGACATTTGCCCCTCAAATTCCATATGGATAATGTAATACTGGTTGTTCCTGTGTTAAAACTCTTGACCTTCTTATTTCAGCAAACAGTTTTCCCTACCTGAGAGAGAGCAACATGGCTTTGATTGTACTGTTCATCAATCCGGGAATCATCCATCCAAACAAACCAGGGCAGCACAGAGCCTGTAGTTTAGAACAAGTGAAAAAAAGAATGAATTGGA